ATTGAATTGAATTGAATTAAATTCCAGTCTTTTTTGTTAGCAAGACATTTTTCTAATTGCTTTTATTCAGCAACAAGGGCAGTGTTGCAAGGTGCTTTATGGGTTTTATAAAAAAGTTTGGGTTTCTGGTGTTCAGCACTCAGCCTCTGCTCATGTGTACAATAGATAGGGATTTTTGTTTGTTGTTGATGTTGTTTTAGGGAAAGTCGTGTAAAGAAAAATGCAATGAAACCTGTTTTATTCTACCTAAAACAAATTTCAGTAGTCTGGTTTCAGTGAAGGTTTGTAGTCTACCATCAGGGGCGGGGCAGGACTCTCTTTCAGTCTGAAAATTACACTGATCACCTGCCCAAAATATATCCATTACTATTGAGCACTTGCATTGCAGTCTGCTAAGGTGTGTTTTCCTTTTTAATTAGTATTTATTGGCACTGCTGCTTTCCTTTCATTTTATTCTCTCCTCAACTCGGTGTGCCAACTTGGCTGGACTGTCCAAACTTCAATTCAAGGTAGGACTTTACTATTTAGGCAGGGGCAACTAATTTATTCCCCTACTATTGACTTGGTCTGTCCATTAACATAGTAAGTGCTTATACAAGGACACAGAGAATACTAAACTTTCACAGCTCAGTCCACACCGTAGTCAGCCCACAGCAATCATCCCACAGTACACTGCTGGCACGCCATGATTTTTTCCCGACCCTCTTGTTTATGACTCCACCACTGTCCTGCATGATGCCCTGAATGATCACCTTTTTGTTTTCCTTAATTAGAAGGTATACAATTCAGTTCACTAATCTGACAGAGGGGAGAGAGAGATAGGGCAGGACTCAGACTGGGAATGTTGCAATTGTCACAGTCAGCTTCTTATACCCCTCAGCCACCCATACACCCCTAAATGATAGACCGTTAAAATGTCATCATGCCAGTACCAAATGAAGGAAGATCTATCCAGCAGATGTTATTTTTTTGCTTTTGTTTGTCCTCCTTATGTATACGTTTTTGCAGTTGTCATGAAGGAATGGAGAGAAGGCCAACAGTTATATGACCGTATGTACACTAGTTGGCTCTGTTGCATAGAATATCAGATGGGCAATGGACAACAAAAAGCGGAAGTGAGACACTATGACTACTGGCAGCTTCAGTTCAAACTCCCTTTAAGGCCTTAAATCCTCATATAAACTGTATTTTGTATGACCTTGTTAGTTTAGCAACCTAAGCTTTTGCTTGCACTTTGTCTAAATGTTAGCTTTTGGAGAAGAGGATTGTAAAAGTAACACCAGCCCATGTGTTAAGAAGTGTTTGTGGTTTCTGCGTTGAGACCGTTGACTCCTCTGACCTCCAATCCGCCGTCAGCTGGCGTGACGCTTCAAAAGGATGAGATGTGGCTTTGGGGTGTTGATCCAAAACCATCAGTCCGACTGCGAGCGAAACCCAATAACAACAGGCTGATGTACACACACTGACAGACACACATGCACATTTGGATGTAGATGAAATGCGTGGACATGCACATGATCATACATGTGGTTGTAGAAAAACAAGCAGAGAAACAGACTTGAACCTGAGCCTGAAATCTGTCTTCTGAGTTTGTGACCTCATTGGCAGCTTTTTTACAAACACACACAAATAATCTAATGCTTGCAGATAAATTGGAATCAGTGAAATAAAGTAAAGGCGGGCAAGCAAGTACACCCATGCAAATGTAGTACTACAGTGGATCTTTTGGGGGGAAAACAATCATATCAGAGATCAAAATGAAGCCAAATACAGGATACATAAGAGGTATATTTAGGGTCTCATTAGTGTATGTTGCATTGAATATACTGCAAAGCTGAATATGCTGCAACATCTGTCCTACCTGCATCTAACTAAATAAAAAGTCAGGCTGCATGATATGGTAAAAACATCATGTTGCAATTATTTTGACAGATATGATTGTGATTCAGAATTAGTGGAAATAGTAGTGATCGATAGTGTAGAGATCATTTTTGCTTTAGAATTTTCACTGGAAAAAGTATTACAATCATGATAATGAAACATTTGTCAGGGTCTTTACCAAACAAACACGTATTCTTACATGTTACATTAATTAAAAATTGCAGCTTTTGAAATTGCATGTTGCCCTTGGCCATATTTTGCGATTTCAGTAATATTTCGATTAATTGTGTAGCCCTAATTAAAGGTAAATAACTAGTTATCTGTGTTTTTGTTTTTGCAGATGATTCTGAAGAGGAGAGTCTGGAGTCAGATCTGGGTCAGGTGGGGAATCACGCTTTCGCCCGGATGGAGGGTGATGTGGACAAACAGCGGAAACAGATCCTACAGGGCCAGATGTCAGAGGCAGCCATGCAGAAACAACACCAGAGGAAGTAAGAGTCCAACCAAATTCTAAAATGACTGGAACATACTGTAAAAACACAAAGTTTTATATGTTGGAACAGTTTATTAGATGTATATCATGATCATACTTTAGAATATGATTTATATCACACAACACAATGATTTTATTGCATTAACTGCACATCCTTAAAAGTCATAGCAGAGATTATTTACACATTAATTACTAACCTACAAGTTGCTTAAACTTTTAACAAAGGTGTTTTTACTTTTTATGTTGTTACATAATGGTGAAACTTCTAGAGAGGCAACAGCCCAATGTGTATATTATGCTGTGTGTTGCAGCCATGTAACCATGAACCATAAATTAATGCCATTTCTGTTTGTGTGTTTGTCTCCTGCAGTTACAATCGCTGGCTGTGCCAGGCAAGAGCGGAGGATCTGTCGGACATCGCTGCACTGAAAGCTTTATATCAAACTGGTATGTGTTAATGTGTGAGAGAGAAGTCGGATATTAGATCCTTGGATTTTTCAGTCTGAATGGGTCACGTCTCCAATGCAGACAACAGAACAGAAACAAAAGAAGGCCATTTACAGAGGTGTGTGTTGTGTGCAAGGCTGCCTACAAGTGTGTGCGTGTTGGGTGACCCTTCATCTGGTACAATTCTTTTTTCCCTTGTTGAACACAGCGCTTTTGGGGTAGTTATCCATTTTCCTATTCTCAACTGTTGTAAGGTGCAATTGAATCTAATTACCAGTAGGAGGCAGTGTTATTAAACAGTTTAGCCTCTTGTTTTTTCCTTTGGTTATGGGCCTATGGTTTCAGATTTAAAAGTATATTTGCAATTTTTTATTGCTTTGTATAACCTGTTTTTTCAAACCAGGGAAATGTTTAAATCCATGTGAACTTACTGACCCCACTTTGTTCTGATTTGCATTGTAACAATATTTAATTGCAATAAAATGCATTACATAGCATAAAACTAATGTAACTAATGTAAGGTGCTTTAAAAGGAACTAAATGCAGAATAGAATGCTTTTCTGAAAGCTGATTTCTGTTCCCTCCTATAGTTAATTGTTTTATAATGGTGATCTACAATAGAGGCCTCAGTTTTTATTTACCAGTATATCACTTTGTTCCCACTTGACAAAATATGAATATATCAATATTTATTACAGGAACCCACATCACAGGGCAGAAGATTAGTTTCTATTTTGATAGCAGGTGATGTGGGAAGATTACCACTTTGTGTTTAAAATAGGCTTATTATTTCAAGCATCTGTGCAGACAGTTTAAAGGTTAAGTCAACCTTTCATTTCAGATGTAAGAATACAGTTAAAAATAATGTTTCTTTAGATCCACAGTATAAAATAACAAAACTGTTTGACAAAACACAAATTACATAGTTACAAATAAATTAGAGCTGCAACTAATGCAAGATAATTTATTAAACTAGCAATTATCTTTTCCTGATTAATGGATTCATCGTTTATTTTAAGAAAATAGTTTTAAAAAATTCCCAGAGCATGTTTTCAGATTAGTTGTTTTGTCTCACCAATTACCATTAATCAATCATCAAAATTGTTGGCAATTACCTTTCTTTGTTTTTTTTTTCAAATCTTTTTATTGATTTTACACCAGTATTGTGGACAGTAAACAATTACATTATTTAAAATGTCAGAATGGACTGGTCTCCAATTTGACAGACCAGAAAAAGAACACAAACCCACCTTTGTTACTATCAGCTCCTGGCGATTACTTTTCTGATTACCTAATCAGTTAATCAACTACTCCTTACAGATGCAGTTAACTTATATCTGCAACATTTTCAGATAAATAACTGTCCAGTTTTAATGCAACATATCAGGGATTTAACATCTTTTTTCTGTTGCTGGTCTAAATGTTTTCAATTTTATTAATCAATCTGTTGATTATTTTTATAATTAATCGGTTATTAATTTAGTCTATAAATGTCATAAGTTTTCAGAGGTGACGTCTTAACATGTTTTGTTTTGTCCAACTGACTGCCCCAAACCCAGAGATGTTTATTTCTGGGTTTTTTTCATAACAAAGTGAAAAGCATCAAATCCTCACATTTGAGAAGCTATAACCAATGAATGTTCAGCATCTTTACTTTATAGATAACCATCAGTAATCTGTCAGTGTATTAATTGAGAAAAAGTTTCTGCACTAAAATACTGCTTCTCTTTTTTTGGAAAAAAAAAAACCCAAACATTTTAGAGAAAGATTTATGAAAATTTAACAGAACATTGTCACCACAAGCAGTGATAACCGTGATAATAGCTGAACAGATAAAGAAAAGAGCACCAAACTGTATCACCATGAAATCCAGTGAAGATTTAACACCCTCTTTGTTGAACTGAGAGATGATCTTAAGATATTTTAGTGCTGAAACACTGCAGCAATTAGAGCTTTGCAGTTACTTGATAAACAGACAGTTAGTTGATATATCTGTAATATTGTGTGTCCCCAGGTGTCGATATGTGTGGCAGGACAGTGATGGTTCTGGTTGGACGAAACATCCCAGTGACCCTTATCGACCTTGAAAAGGTAACGAAATAGACTTAGGTTATTTCAAAATAAAGTGCTTTTATTGATGTTATAGTCAGGCTTGATTCCATCTTTGAGCATCTGTTCATTTTTATATTGACCAGAGTTGTGTGGTCGTGTTTACACGTCTACGTGTTGCGTTTATTTTGTGCACATGTGCCTGTGATTCAGTAGATGAATCTTTGTGGATTTTATGAGTGTGTGTCGGTGTGTATCCTTTCATGTGGCTATCATGTGCTTACATATATTTACATTCGCACCTTAACATTTATTAACTGATACTAAAACTTGAACAAAACAAAAAAACTCTCTAGGGCTATAAAAGTGTATACACACTGATGTAGTCTGTGTTTGCGTGTGCAGGCGCTGCTGTACTTCATCCATGTGATGGACCACATCACAGTGAAGGAGTATGTGATGGTTTACTTCCACACGCTGACCGGCGAGCACAACCACCTGGACTCCAATTTCCTCAAGAACCTCTACGACATCGTTGAGGCCAAGTCAGTCTGACATTTTACACTCCTTGTTAAACTGAGCCAATGACTGCTATTGTGAGTAATGTCCTGTGGGAGAGGTATAAATAGGGCAAAATGAACATAATCTATTGTTCAATCTGTTGAATTTCATAGACATTTTATACCTAAATCTTTATAATTTTCAGTTGGATTCTTTATTTAACACACAAGCATTGCTTTGATCCAAAATGAGATTTCTTCAAAGTCAAATAGAAGGCTAATTAGTGGAGACATTAGCTTAGTTTCCCATTGTTTTAGTCTTTCTCCTCTCAGTTTTGTCTACTCCTTTTGCCACACACAATGACTGAAAAGAACTTGAGCTGTTGCTTTAACCTCCTACTCACCCAATGGCACGACTTTAATGTTCTGTGCTGTATGTTCTGGGTTTGCAGTCATTTGGCTAACTCTGCTGGCCAGCTATGTCTTCGCTCGGCAATAGCCAGTACTGCATGTCAAACATAGTGTGATGGTTTTTCTTGTAAGTAATGACACAAAAAGTCATCAGATCCTCCAGATGGAAGAAAGTTCTGAGAGACTTTGAAAGCTCCCTGGCGTTTTTGTTGTCTGTTTAAAGTAATAAGACGTTAAGTCTATCCAGGTGTAATATTGTAATAAAATGTACAAGTGCAATATGAGAATTCTTTCTGGCCTTATCAGTAACAAATCTATAGCTGGGTTGATGATGTCTACAAACGCATCTTCTGTGCGCCTTGGCTGTCATTTGACCTGCATTTGGCTTTCTTCTGGCTCTCCCTCAGTCCTCCTCTGACTATGCTGACATCTGCAGCTGCATTGAAGTTCAGATATATTGTTCATGCTTACAGTATGACACCGCCAAGGTTACAGTCTTTAGACTTTTGGAAAAGCACAACGAGCTGTGAAACCTTTTTTTGTTTCGCTGTCGGTTTTGGAAATCTGGCGGCCATATTTGGAACAGGAAACCCAAACTTGGAGCCTGTTCTGGGGTGATGTATTGGCTGTGACTCAGCCTTAATCAAAGGGTTCAAAGTTTTGAAAGCGGATCCTTGTTCTGAACTACTTCTTGATAGGCCCGTCATAGGAATCACTTACAAAAGTAACTGAAAGACATTATATTTGTTTGTGAAAACATTTAAGTTGAAAAATGGGCCTTCAATGGCCCACCTCTGAAATCTGAATCACATTGAAGAATCTTATTTTCAATAGATACAGGATAAAACCAGTGTCAGATATGCAAGAAAACTGCAAAAACATTCTCACTGTATCTTGAGACATATGCATGGTAATTTGTCACAGAGAACACAGCATCTCTGTTTGCAGTCTGCTCTGAGATTCACCATGTTCATTTAAGCTAAATAGGAGCCACATCCTCCAGATGAAAACCAGAGTTGTTTACAGTTCCACCCGGCCATCAGAGTAGACCCACAGTTCTGTATTATCTACTGTAAAGTGATACCGTACCGTAGGACATCTGAAGAAGAAGGATCAGACTGGTTTAAACCAACTTTCAGGTTAGGGTAGTTTGGAAGAGCAGACAAATGTGAGTTATTACCCAAACAGTCTTTTTTAAACAACCGTCACAGTTTACAGTCCAGTTTCCAGTTCTCATCTACACATGCAATGAGTATTGCTGGGTATCTGTACTCAATACCTTTTTAAAGTATTGATTAAAATAACCCAGTAGTATTTAATACGGTGGCCGGGACCCGCCATTGCTGCAAATAAAAGAAATGCTGCAAATAAAAAGAAACGCCGCTGCAAATAAAAAGAAAAGCCGCTGCAAATAAAACAACAACAATGATTAAAAAAAAGCCACAACGGCCGGTGCACAGGTGTGAAGATTTTTTAAACGATACCCTAGAGAGATTGTATATTATACATGCTATTTTTGGCTCCCCCACGTTCAGTTTTACCTCCAAATTAAGTGGTTTTCATAATCTTTATATACAGTAGGTACAGAAAGTATTCAGACCCCTTTAAATTTTTCACTCTTTCATTGCAGCCATTTGCTAAAATCAAAAAAGTTCATTTTATTTCTCATTAATGTACACTCAGCACCCCATCTTGACAGAAAAAAAACAGAAATGTAGA